TGAGATATGTCTATTCAGACCTTGTGCCCATTTTTCTGTTTATCTTGGTACCAGGGATCAAACCCAGGACCTTATGCTTGCAAGGCAGGCAGCAGAACCACTGAGCTAAATCCCCAGCCCTCTTGTGCCCATTTTTCAATCTGGGTTATTTTCTTGCTATTGAGTTCCTTATATATCTTGGATATTAGCCCTTTATCAGATGGTTTACAGATATTTTGTTCTGGAGGCTGTCTCATCTGTTAATCATTTCCTTTGCTGTGAAATCTTTTTATATCGATATAATCTTATTTATTTTTGTTTTTGTTGCCTGTGCTTTTTGGGTCATACAAAAAAAAAATCATTGCTCAGATTATTGACATGCAGCTTTACACTTGTTTTTTCTAGTAGTTTTAGTTTAAGAGGTTAAGTCTTAATGCAGTTTATTTATGTATGCAAAATGAGATCAGAGTTTAACTTCATTCTTAAGCATGAGAAATCCAGATTTCCTATCACCATTTTTATCAAAGAATTTTTCCTCATTGTCTATGTTCCTACTGCCTTTGTGCAAAACCAACTGACTGTGAATGTATGGATTTACTTCTGGGCTGTTTTCTGTTCCATTTGGTCTATGTATGTTTTTAAATCGAATAATGAAGTGTTCCATTTTTGGAACACCCCTAAGAATGGAATAGAAATTTTTTTCTTCAAATTCTTGTTCCTTGAATTTTTCTAGGTATATATATGAATTTCATGCAAAAATTTAAAAAATTGTTAACCTTCCACATAAATGAGTTAGTGCCAATACTATATTGTTTTGTTACACTTCATAATATGTGTCTGAAACAGATCTCACTGTGAAGTCCAGCTGGATTTGAACTCAGGAACCTTCCTGCCTCAGCTTTCTGAGTAGCTGGATTACAGGTGTGTGTGTGTCACTGTACCTAGTTAGTTTGCATTGTATTTTGGAGTCATTACTGTGATGCTGTAAATTGGTTGTTTTGCCCAAGATTGCTTTGCTTGAGAACTTTTGTACTTTCATACAACTTGAACTATTTTTATTCCTGATAAAGGTGTCACTGGAATCTTGGTTAAGAGTTGCATTGAATCTGTAAATTGCTGGGGACAGTATGAGAATTTTAGCAATACAAATCTTCCATTAATGGGACAACTTTCCATTTTACTTGTGTTTCTTCAATTTGATTCATCAATGTGTTACAGTTTTCAGTGTATAGGTCTTTCAACTCCTTGGATAGTCTTACTTTTTTGTAGTCATTGTGAGATTTTTCACATAATTGTTAGTGTATAGAATGCTAAGGATTTGATTTTTGTGTCCTGCAACCTTTCTGAATGTTAGTTCTAATTCTCTTGATGGTGTCACTAGGTTTTGCTCTGTGTAAGTTCCTGTTATGCTGGAGATGCAGCTGAGGGGCAGAACTCTTCCCTGGCATACCTGAGGTTCTGAGTTCAGTCCCCAGTACTGCCCCCTTCTCCAAAAAGGACATCTAAAAATGGACAGTTGAACTTCTTGTAACTCAGATGTCTTTTATTTTCTCCCTTTTAATTGCTCATTAGGACTTTCAGCACTATGTTGAACAGAAGGGACATCATTGCCTTGTTTCTAATCTTAGAGGAAAATCTTGCAGCTTTTTACTGCTGAGAATCTTAGTTATGGGCTTGTCATAGATTATCTTTATTGTGTTGAGGTACATCCCTCGTATACCTAATTCATTGCAAGCAAATAGTTAAAAGCTAACTCTGACATTTAGTTACAACCATTTTGTATGATTTCTGTGATTTTTTTCTAAATCAATTTCATTTTTCAGTTGTTTTGGTACCACAGTACTCTTTTAGGCTACAAACATTTTCATAGGCTTTGGAAGGCTTGGCAGCCTTGGGCATGGTGCTTACCATATCCAAGGACAAAATGGCTCAGAGCTCTTGAAACTAGCTGGGGACCTTGTTTAGTGTAGCACTGACACTTAGAACCCAGCCACAGGCAGCGAGAAGACTGTGTCACAGTGGACAGACTGAAGTCTAGATCAAAGTGAAGACAAAGTCCTTTCATACTGTCTCCTGACAATAATTAATTGGGGCAGGAAGATACAGTAAAGATATTTATATTCTTACTCATATGCTCCAGGATAGGGCAGTGGTAGGAGGCTCTTGGGCTGCAGGCACTCACCAGACACACCCAAAACACTGTGGACACTGTGGACCTCCTGAGCCAGGTGGCCATGAGGCATATGCATAAGCCACTGACTGGGAAGGCAGGGAGTACACCCATGATCTACAGAACACCACATGGCCTTGTGCCTAGATCACAATAGTCCACACCAATCCCTGAAGGAGGAATGGAGTGGATTTCACTTCTCTGGTCAACAAGAGTAGGGCTGAAATATCAGAGGGTAAAGAACTGCTACCTTTGGAGCTCTCGTCCAGCTGGTGAGGTCCACTTCACCTGGTGACTTTGGTTTGGTGTGGTCACTCTCTAGGAGCAGGCCCATGTTGCTGGATGTTGTGTTGGAGGTGCACCAATGCCACCTTTCAAGGGTGCCTGCAGGAGTGTAGTTGGCTACATTTCCAGCTGCAGAGTTCAGATTGAGGCCTCACCCTTCCAGTTGTCTTAGCCAATGCCTGGCCACTTGCCATGGTCAGAGACAGTGATGCCTTGCCATACCCACTCAACACAAACTCTTGGAGCTGAAAGCCCTGCCTGGACTGCCCAGCGTTCTTTGAGCACCACTGCACATTGAGACTCTCCCTACATAGTTCTCTTTCCTTCTTTTTTTAGGTATCAGATCTATATCATGGGCTGAAGGCTGTCCCTGTCTTGATTCCTCTCTCTCCTTTCAATAAATCCTTTGCACTCTTACTTCACTCTGGCCTGTGCTTCCTGACGACCCAAAGTAACAGAACTACCAAACCCACAGTGTGACTGGCCAAAGTTGATTGGCTCATTCTCTTAAAACATGAAAGTTTAGCAAAAAACATCCTCCTAAAATGTGGTCAGGGGGATCACAAAAAAGAAATGCAGTATTTCATTGGATTTCTGCAAAAAAGCAGACTCATGCAGATAGGGTGACATCTTCTAAGGGTTAACCACTTATGTCTGACAGGTGGCCGAAGAGGAATCATCCTGGGAACTGGTTATAATCTATTTATTTAAAAATATTTATCATTTATTGAGTAATTGCCATGTGACAGTAATGCTGGTAAGAGCTTTCCATACATTGTTTCATTTGATACTTACATAAATGTTATACATTATCTCCATTTTTCAGATAAGGAAATGGAGTTAATTAGATGTTGAGGTGAATTTAAATCATAGACTGCTTGATGCTAAAGCTAAAACCCTTTAGGTTCTAACAGACAGACAGGACAGACACGCACACACACATGCATGCACATGTGCGCACAAACACATACATAACCTCATGATACCTATGTAAAATCTGAGTTTCCAAAGCAGAAAAAAAAAAAGTCTGTGTACTAGAGAAAACATAATGGAAACTGAGAAATGAAGCCACTGAATGGAACTGGCCTAGAAATCTGCAGAGAAGCAAAGGCAGGAAGATGTTTTAGGAAAAAAAGGTATCCTGATCTATTCTAATAACACATCCTTGGAGACACATATCCTTTCTGAGCCTTAGTTTTCATATATTAATGAGCTGGCTGACTAGATGATCTTTAGATTTCATTTCAGAATTAACATATTTTTTTCTTTTTGGATAGAACTTTTTATTTAGTCATTCTGTATAAAATCAAATTGAAAAGGTTGTTTTCACCAAATCCCGTAAGAAATAAAAATGGTTTTGCTTTCAACGTGAACAGTATGTTTCAAAATTCACCAAGAGAAGCAACTGGCCAGGACCCTGGAGGCCTGGTCCTCTCACTACTAACTGACACTTGTTCAATCTTCAGGGAAAGGCCTCAAAGGCCCCACCAGTGGTGAGGCAGGAAAAGGACTGCGCCACCCAGAGAAGCCAAAGCTGGCATCATCCCAGTCCCACTGCCCCACCTGTCCTGCAGCAGGGAGCCTTTCTAGGAGGAATGAGACTGGAAGAAGGAATGTAAAAAACTCAATAGTTTACCATGTTAAAAAAAAAAGAGATGGCACATTTATTGCTACATAAATGTTATATACATATTATGTTTTCTGTTACAGTGACAGAAAAATTTTGAACTTCTTGCTGCTGGTTGAAAGGTTTATCAATAATACCTTGCATTTGACACAGGATACAAATCTGCAATAAATCAACAGTGGAAACTGGAGAACAAGATGAGAAGCAATTCATCTCGAACGTTAGCTCTTACAATACTCCATAGGTACTACACGGTATGCTAGAATCCTACTATGGTCTTAGAATGCTATTGTAAATTTCTGATATTAATGAACAGGTTATGGTAAATAACCCTACATTTTTACTACCTAATATAATAAAATAAAGTAAGAAACTTTTTACTGAAAACTTTCGATTTCAAAAATCTAGAAAGAGTAATATTTAGAATTCAAGAAATTTTCTTACAAGATTATTGTATAAAAGACTAGCTACAGTGAAAAATAAGCCAAATGTTTTTTTCTTTCTATTTTATGAAGGAAAGCTTCTGGGCATACTGCAAAGTCTAATATAGCGAAAAAGACAACAAGCTCTGAAGAAAAAGGCCAGGCAGTGCTGTATGTTCACTCACACATCATAAGCAACAACTCCGTTTAGCCGATTAACACTGAAATGAAGAACAAGGCCACAGATAGAGTCTGATGTAATTGGAGAATATATGCAAATTAAGCTAACCAAAAAGTCCACTAAGTTCACAAACAGTTGATTTGTTAAGAAATCATCCTGATTGGAAGATCTGAAGTTCTGCCTTAATTGTTTTTGTTCTTCCAAATTAACAGAAATCTTTGTTACATTGTGATTTGGGTTCTTTCTTCTGTGTGCTGATTGCCCTTGCTGATGTTGGCTCTGAGAATTACTAAGCCAAGACAACCTTGTTTAGCATGTGTTTCTCTCCCAGGTTTGTTGTGGTGGAAGACAGATTTTATGGAAGTTCAAAGTCATTATGATGTCTTAAAAATTACTACGAAGGATTAGAGAGGTGCCTAGTTAGTGCACAGTATTAAGATTAACTGACAAGTACTGGTTTAATGCTAATCTGGCTCATTTTGGGATAGGGACTGATTAAATCACCCACTGAATTCTCCCCTAATCATCCAAATGATAGTGAGTAAAAGTAAGGAGAGAGAAACCCGGTGACCAGGGTTCTTGGACTCCATTAGGTAATGAACCTCAGAGTGGTGTGTTCGTTTATCACACTACCTGCCTTGGTGACTACTGGGTCTTGCTATATTCACCATAATCACGGCCTGAAAAATCATCTTTGTACTTTAAATGAATTTTGTGCTTACTTACAGCTAACACTTTACAAGTACTATATTATGTAGTACTTACTGCTTGGAAAACAAAGCAATTTCCAAAAAGTAAATTCTTCCCTTGTAATTTACACTTCTTGCTATTACAAGCTTTACTATCAAACCTAGAAGCTTGAAAAGTCTTGGTATTATTAGAAATAAAGCAATATTTATTTGTGGGAAAAACCTAGGGAAAAATTTCCCCTTTTAAAATCTTAGCTAGGCTATGGTCACAGATGGTCTCTGCTCACCACTGTGGGTACATGTGCCAAGCACAGAGGGCCGTGTGGATGATTCTGGACTGTGACCATAACTATTCAGATTCAGAGACCAAATGTCACACCCACAAAGAGAAAATAAAAATGCATGAAAAATGAGAAAATGCTATACCAAGTAATATTTTCCTATTTCATGGAAAACACTATTCATATGGCAAAAGGAGAGGAGAGGGCAACAAAAGACTTTTCCCTTCCTTTTTAAGACACTCACAGGTATGCCGGGAATGCTAAAGGCCAATGGTTGTCACTGTTTTGTTCTCTGCATGGGAACAGCTTTAACAAATGCTGGCATCAACCTTTTCCCTTTATATGTAGACCTTACAGTTCCATAGCAATAAATAAAATTTGTAGTTACAATGCATTTGTCAATTCAGTTTAGGCACAAGGCAACTTCCACGGTGAGTGGAGAGATCGAGACAGTCTCTGATTGTGCAGAAGCGATACACTGCTTGCAACAAAATGATAGGTTGCAAACACCTCATGGGTTGACGTTCTATCTGATGAGCTTCCTATCTTCACTTCTGGTGGAAGTGTCGACCAATTGCTTTGATCGTAGGTACATTTGAGTTTCTTGCTTCAAGTGTTTTGTTTTTTCTTCTCCCTCCTGTCAGGTTTGTATCTTCAGATAATCTGAGTTGTCCAAGTCCTTATGAGGAGAGGTCACCTTCTATCTAGCCTACTGATAACTCTGGAACTACAGTGGGGAGAGAACAGTACCAGTTAGTACTTAACGGTTACAAATGAATACCACCCTTGCCCAAAATAAAAAAAGCTGGCGTTCCTCATTACACTTAGGTTTTTGATAAATTAATATTCTGTTAAGGGACTAAGATATTAGTAGTCCTCCCTTATCCAAAAGGAATATCCCCTCATCCAAGCCTAGGCAACACAGCAAGACTCTAATCTGGGGGTGGGGGAAGCCTACAGTAAAAGGCCAGGTAGCTTTGACTCTCTTTTCCATCCCTAAGAGTTCTATACTGTGTTAACGTGCCCAGGTACTCAGCAGACGCCTGAAACTTTGGATAGTACCACATCTTACGTGTACTAACTCTTTTCCCTATACATAAGTACCTAGGATAAAGTTTAACTTATAAATTGGGCACAATGAGGTGAACAACAATAAATAACAAAATACAGTAATTAAAACAATACACTAATGAGCTGGTGCTTTGGGACCATTACAAGATAAAACAGAGATTGTGTGAACATAAGCAATGCAGCAGTGCGAGATAGACGTGATAATCAGCCCAGCTGCTAAGTGACGAACAGCACACCGTGTGGCTACACTGCACAGAGGGAGGAGTCACATCCCAGGGAGGACACAGTGAGAGGGCTCATTACACAGAATGGCATGTAATTTAAGATTTGTACTTTGCTTACTTCTGAAACTTTCCATGTAACATTTTTGGACCATGGTGGACTTGAGTAACTGAAATCACAAAAAGTAAGCCTATGAATAAGGGGAGAGCATTCTGACACAGTTTTACCTGACATATGTGTTAAGGTTTTTTTTGGTACTGGGGATAGAACTCAGGACCCTGTTCTTGCAAGGCAGGGTTAGGGTTGAGCTCATTGCCACTGAACCAAGCTACTGGGTTCTATGAAAGTTTTGGCATTTATGCAAACTTTAATTTTAGCCACATTCACAGTGGCAATGCGTGAGGTGTGAAGCTGTATGTATTCACTGCTCACCAGTGGGACAATATCAAAACCTCTCTACCATTGTGTCCTACTCACCAGGCCATGCTCACAGCAGACTCCTATCTCCTCCAGACTCAGGTTTCTGTAGGCAGGCAATAGCCCACATTTACTTTCATACTGGCATCAGTTCTGTTCCTCAGGATACCCTCACTGAATATTTGGTTCAATTATTTTATTAAGAAAATTTTCGTACAAACTCTATACCTATGAATGTTCCCAGTGTAATACATAAACACGAAATGTTCTATTTTAACCACTTATAATTAAAATAGTTTAGGAAGAATTTTAACTTTCATTCTCTTATTAAACAATTAACACAGTACCAGAACTCTTAGGGATGCAAAAGAGTCAAAGCTACCTGGCCTTATACTGTGTCCCCACCGCCCCCATTAGAGTCTTCTATGTTGTCTAGGCTGGTCTCAAACTCCGGGACTCACCTGATCCTGACAGCCTACCAAGCAAGCTGGACTTCAGGTGCACATTAATGTGTCTGGCAAATTTTTACAGTTTTTAAACCAGTGGTCATTTCTTTGCCATTCTGAATTTAGCAGTGGTTTCTATCATGCCCAGTATCTTGCTGTTTTTTATTTAAAAAATATTTAGGAAGAAAGGGGCCAAAAGGGAACGGAAAATGGGAGGGGTGGGGAAAGGAAAGAAAGGAATGGAATTAATATGCGAAAATAAAAACATGGAAACAAAGTCTATGTAAATAGGGAGGGATGGAGGGGTTGAAGGGAGGGCAGGGGAATGGGAAAAAAATAAGAACCAAATGGATTATATAAAGGTACCAATTTCCAATGATGAATGTCATTATATGGTACACCTTAAATGTACCAGTAAAATTAAAAAAAATTTTTAAAGTTAATGTATATTTTTTTGCAACAAGGTCTAACTACAGAGCCTAGGTTGGCCTTGAATTCACACTGATCCTCCCGTCTTGGCCGCCACGTGTTCATCGTCACACTCAGCACATTCTTTATTTCTTGAGGCAGGGTTTTGCTATGGAGGCCAGGCTGGCTTTGAACTCACTATGTACATGGCCCAAGCTGGCTTTGGACCTTTGGTAATCCTCCTGCCTCATCCTCTCAAGTGCTGGGATTATAGGCATGTGCTACCATGTCTGACTCTTACTGGCTTTAATCTGTTCTCCAGTTCTATAAAGAACTAAAGGTTATCAGGTAAAGCAGATTAACTACCTTTATAAAATTAACCACTTTCAGCTGTATTAAGATCAAAAGAATATTCTTCCAACAAATACAGCTCCACCAGGAAGAAGGCAAAGTACGGTGACTCATCATCTAACATTTGTGCATCTGTTTCAGGTCCTAGAGCAGTAGATGATGTGTTCAAATGGGGAAGGAACTGCATATCACAAACTGACACCTCTGACCCAAGTGACACATGTGACTCAAGTGTGTGAAGGAGTCATGATAGAGAAGACCCAGCTGACCAGCGGGAGACTGCCTGATGATGCAGTCAGGCATGTCTGAGTCGAAGGGTGTGGATGATGAGTGGGAGCAGGAATGTTTTCTGGGAGATGAGCCATGGCCTTGTTTTCTCTTAGACTACAGTGACATTCACAAGTACATGAGATCCTATTTCCTTATAAACCACAAGATATCAGCATGCTTTGAAGAGAATAGTAATTTGGTATAAAATGACAATGATTACACAAAAGCAAGGCAAGCTATCACATCTCAAATTACACATGACCTTTACAAGGATCAATGCCCATGAGAGAATTCCATTCAAAGGCTTTAAATCAACTGAAGATGGATCTTAAGTGATTTCTTTGTATTTTCTTCTCAAATCCACACTTACCTGGCTGATGTTTACATATGACCCATAGGGTTGGTAGTTTCACTAAGCCCAGGATGGGCTCCTGGCAGCGTGGTTGGTGGCTCTGCCGATACGGCAGAAACTTTTTCTTCTTCCCTTCTCTTAAGGCAGGCTGCTTTGGGGTTAAGGTTCCTCTCTAAAACAGGAAAAAAGAATCATTATTACGGCGATTAAGGTACAAACAAGGGACTGTAGGTCTTGAGTTGAGTAAGTTGTTACTTTTTCTTTCTGTGGGGATCACTATCTCTGTGATTTCATTTGCATACAAGACAGCACTAAAGGAGCTTTCTTAGTGACCAGTCTGAGGATGCAACTCAATGTGAAGGCCCTGGATTCAATCTTCAGTAACGGGAAAAGAAAACCACTACTTCCACCAGCACGACCACCACTGCCACTTGCTGGAGATAAAATCTAAGACAAGACAGTGGCTACAACCAAATTTTGAAGGTGCTGCCAAAACTCTGCCTGTGCAAAGGTTCTGTCCGGTAGCTCTCAGAGTACCATTCAGAGAGGCTTATTAATTCCGGGACCCTATGATAAAGATGAAAGCTTTGGGCTGCAGGCCTTGGGTGTAAAAGTAGGACAAAAGTAGGCTATACCTAATAAAGCTACAGTTCAGTGTATTGGTTCAAACTCCAAACAGTGAAAGACTCCCTAGAGCTTTCAGAACTGGATAAAAAGGTCAGAACCCATAATTGTGATCACAGGAAATTAGGTACTGGACAAGCCCTAATGCCATATACTCTCAGATGCAGCTTTTCTATTCCAGATGCCATCACTGCAAAGTCAAGTGTTACAACCGTCTAAGATCCACTCAGGATGGTGCAGCTAGTACCTTATTTCAAACACAGAACTATTCCTCATGTTAATGACTTGGACTTGAGTAGGTATCTCTGCTCTTAAAAAAGTTTTCAAAAACACAAATGACCTTGTATCTGGCTCTAATGTACTGTGGAAGGGAAAAGGTATGCTGGGATAAGTCCTGGCAGCCCTACTGGCAGACAGTAACACTCTCACATCTAAGATGCAGGCAGCAACTTTAACAGCAACTGGCTGTGTGGAGTCAGGTCGGAGGACGAGTGTGCCTGATCTCCTGGGCACAGGTGCCTGGCCACCTTCAGATTGGACAATGGTCAGGCATGGTGGCTCACACCTATAATCCCAGCACTCGGGAGGCTGAGGCAGGAGGATCGTTGTGAGTTCAAGACCAGCCTGGGCTACAAAGTGAGTTCCAGGTCAGTCTCAACTACATAGCGAGACCCTGTCTCAAAACAAAAACAAAAACAAAAACAAAACAAAACAAAAAACAGAGTGGGACAATTGGTGTCAGCTATAACACAAGAAGAAAATCTGTCTGGTAGAGTGATAGTGGCTCAAGGAACTGCCACTCCCACCACAGATGAGTGCATGGGCAATAGCCTTTCTATGAGCATTTCAAGGAAGCCTGTATCTCCTTCAAGATTAACATTTCCCTTTATAGATACTTTTTGATTTTATAACAAGACAAGCAATTATATGGTTTCAACAGTAGGTTGGTTACCCACAAAGTAAGATACACATCACCCTTATATGTTAAATATATTGCAGGGAAGTAGATGGGTGAATGAACTATTACTATCTTGTTTTGTCTGAAAGTTTGTTCTTGTTCTGATTTCCTAAGCCTTTTTTCCCCCAAATCAGAACTGAGAGCTCATGGTTAGAATTTTCAGCAGCTGCTGATTACTACAGTTTTACGAATCTTTTTCAAGTAAGATCTAACATAAATAAGGAAGAATTTTTCTCAGTGAAGAAAGACTACTGCAGGGCCTGGAACTCAGGGCACCATTTATGAATTCCCTGCAACAAAGCTTCAGGGCCGGGGATGTGGCTCAGTGGTTTGGTGGCCTGCCTTGCAAGCGCAAGGACCCGAGTTCAATCCTTGGTACCAAAAAAACAAAAAACAAAAAATCTGCAATAAAGCCTGGGATAAAAGAGTTAAAACTTTGGTAAGATATGTAGGTATATACCAAAATATAAGCTCAATGGTGGAACCTCTCAAAAGCAGGAAGCTTCTATTATTTGATGAGCAGCGTCTAGGATAGAGCGGACAGACAAGGTATATGATAAATGAAAGTTAAACAAATGAAGTTTTAAAACTTCTTAAAGATTCCAATAATCTTCAAGAAAAACAAAACAGGCAATTGCCTAAGTTAGCAGTGTGTGAGCCTTTACAAATCACACTCTGGCCCTCCGAGACAGACACACATGCCAGTGCAGGTTAGCCGAGGCCATGATTTTCAGAACTAGGGTCAGCAAAGAAGCCAAAGACCTTACTGATATGGCTCTTAACATCTGGCAAAGCCTTCAGGGGTCATAAGCAGGCATCCTATTAACCAGCAGGGCCTTGGAGGTGCTCTACAGGAGAGCAAGTACGGAAACAGCAGGGAGATGGGAAGGAGCAGGGAGGACAGGCCAGGGAGAGAGAGAAGAGCAGGGGAGACAGGGAGAAGGAGTGGGGGGGAGGGAGGAGAACTTATAAACTATACAAGTAAGGAGCAACTGGAAACAGAAATGTCTGCTCCACTTGTGGGCAGAGTGGTTGTCTATCTCTGCTGGATCTACTCACCTCTGACTTGCTGTTCTAAGCTAAGGATGACGGCCACTGCCTGATGAAGAATGAGGAGTTTTGTTTGGGGCTTTTCACTCTTCAAATGAAGCTGACACATTCGGCCAAGCTCTTTGAATGCCTCATTAATATCCCGCACCCGCAAGCGTTCTCTGGCATTGTTGGCCATTCGTCTTTCCTTCTCCCTTTCTATTTTCTGTTCTGGATTTAGATCCTCATCTTCATTAGTACTACTGGAAGACAAAATAACAACAATATCTGTTAGCTTCTCTGTAAGAAAGATATGCTGACTGTGCAAAATTACGGTGTGCAAAGATGGAGGCAAAAATTCCTAAATAGGAGTAACAGCTTCACTTAATATAACTGTGTATTTCTTTTTTTTTTGGTGGTACGGGGGACTGAACTCAGGACCTTGCACTTGCAAGGGAGGTATGATGCCACTGAGCTAAATCCCTGGCCCCAAGTGTGTATTTCTTTCCAGTCTTTCTTTAATACACACATATAATTCTATAGTTGAAATACATACACTTTAATGCATTTTTCACTGTACATGTTAGCATGAAGAAATCTCCATGCTAGTGAAGGTCTTCATAAATACAGTATCAACCACACAATGTTTTGGCACCTTGATATACAAAATGTGATCCACAGATCAGCAGCCTTACTGCAAGCCTATTTAAAGACACAGATTCTCACATTTTATCCCAAACATATTGATTCAGAAGTTGCATTCACATGTTTTTGTTTTTGGTACGAGGGATCGAACCTGGGACCTTGCACTTTTGAGTCAGGTGGCAGAAACACTGAGCTAAAGCCCTGGCCCCAGAAGTCGCATTTTAACAAGACCCCTAGTTGACTCACAAGCACAAAGAAGTTTGAAAGCACAGTTCTAGTACAAGGGGTTTCAATACTTTAACCTCAGCTTTTGAATATATTTGCAGCAGTCATGTGGTCAGAAAGAAGAAAAGATCAAAACACAGATTAAGAGAAGCATATCAGAAAATGGCCATTTTTCCTAAATAGAAATATTGTCATCAGTAGTGATGACTATGAAATATGGGAGAACTGGAATAGTTTTGTGAAGGACAAATTGGCAGAATAAATTTGAGACCTTAAAATGTTTATTACTTTTTGACTAGCAATTCCAACTTTTAGAAATTTTTCCTAAGGATAACTAGAGATGTAGACATAAAGTTTTGCTCTAGAAAATAGTTTTAATGAAAACATGTTATAGTACCTATATCGATAGTTATTTTTTAATACACATGGCTATCAATAAATAAAAAGCATTCTATGAAAAAATTCATAACAAATGAGAGAATAACAATAGTTAATACACTGTGTGCCATGATTTTTTTCTTTCCTTCCTTCCTTTTCTTCCCTCCCTCCCTCCTTTCTGAGACAGAAGTATTCCAGGCTGGCCTTGAACTCACAGTGATCCTCTTGCCCCAGCCTCCTGAATACCAGTATCACAGGTATGAACCACCATGCCTGACCTATGATCTTAGAATGGCCAAAATGTGACATGTGTTGTGGTGCATGCCTGTAATCCCAGCACTCGGGAAGCAGACATAGCAGGATTGCTCTGCGTTAAAGGCCACCTTGGGGTACACAGTGAGCTAAAAGGTGGGGTGTTATTCAGAGTAAAAGTCACAGATCAAAAAAAAAAATCTCTCTTACAAAAAAGAAACTAACAGATAATAGCACAATCTGCAACAGCTAGATCTTAGAAACAGGGTATATGTCCATCAAGAGATGAATGGGTAAAGTACTATGCTGTAATGAACGAGGAACTTGAAGCATCTGTAGGCAAATGCATGCAACTTGAGAACATGATATTAAGTAAAATAAGGCACACAAGCTTAAATATTAGAATGGTTTCTCTTATATGAGAAACTCAAAATATGCAATTCCCAATTCTGTCCTGTTGTTTCAAAAATATTTCAATATAGCTTGGCATGGTGGCACACACCTGTAATCCCAACACTCGGGAGGCTGAGGCTGTGAGTTCGAGACCAGCCTGGGCTACATAGTGAGTTCCAGGCCAGTCTCAACTACATAGTGAGACCCTGTCTCAAAAAAAAACAAAAAACAAAAATTCAATATATACACTACTGTTTCATTTGTACTACTAGTTTCTCTTAGTTAAATGTACATAGGAATTTATATAAACAAAGTTTATCACAAAATTATTTATATTAGCAACATACTAGAATCCAATAATAGGATAATGGTTAAATAAATCACAGTACTTGAGACAATGGATTACCATGTGGTCTCTAATGCACAAGTTGCAGATTACACTAAGTAAAAGAAGCCAGCCATGCAAGATTACTGTATGATCCCATTTGCATGGATTTCTAGAAGAGACAAAGCTCTGGTAACAGAATGATCCATGAATGCCAAGGACAGGGCTGACTACAAAGAGGAATGAGGAAACTTTCTGGGGCAGTGAAAATATTCTGTACCATCAAAATGGTAGTGGTTATGTCTTTTGCAGTGGTCAAAAGGAAAAATATAAAAATTTTAGGTATATATTTAATACACATTTTGTCAAAGGATAAGCTTGTACACTTAAAATTCTAAGTTTTATCAGGTAGGAATTAAGTCTCAATAAAGCTGGCCCCAAACAAAAACACACTGCAGAAAATACTCAGGACAAGTGAAAAAGCTAAAAATACACTGCTGAATGGAAAAAAAAACCCTGAAATTGTAAAACTAATGTCTAGTTTAATTCTAATTTGAAATTTATTTATGGAAAGAGTCCTTAAAATATAAACAATGTATTCATTCTGGTTAGTAAGATTTATTGTGATTTTTGTGTTTCTCTGCATTTTTCCAAATGAAAAGAGATTACATAATTAGAGAAATAAAATTTGAGGAAGATGTTTACAATAACTTTTAGAAAATTCTATTCCCATTTCAGAAATAAATTACTAAGCACAGCTTCCCAGAACCTTGAAATAATGTGCACAAAGAAAAGATGTTTTCATCTCTTCTCTAATACTTCATTATTCCACAAAGAAGTATACAGTGGTTCTTAGTAGCTAATCAAGAATTACATAAATCCATTCTTTTCATAGTAGAGAGTCGCTGGCTTTTTAACTTTAATGGGGCCTTAAACCATCTGGTGCAAGGGTGTCCAAACTAAGCTACTCACTAGTCTCTCCAGGTACACAAGAGACAGCTTCCCAAGTCCAGTAGTAGAGAGGCTGGACCCAAGCACCTGTATTCCTAAAATGTCCCAGGGAGTCTGTGTAGCTCTTTTGAGAAGCCTGAAAAACTGAGGAATCAGTTACCTTCTTCTTGGAATTAGTTGATGGCATAGTAATGGAAAACCAGGTCAGTGCTCAACAGACGCAAACCTGTATCACATACCAACACTACCATCACTGAATTGGCTACAGTGCCTTTAGTCAGTACTTACTGTCAGCCAGTGTGCAAAGGACTTCACATGCATCATTTTCAGGTTATTCCCACAAGAATATGGTCATAAGGCCTTTTAGAGGAAGAACTGGACTCAAAGAACTTTGATAACTTGTCCAAGGTCAATAGTAGGTGATGGTACCATGATTTAAACCCAGATTAGCCTAATTTTGTCCAAAAGTGATCCCATATCCTATTAATTAGCATTAACCTATTCTACTGTCTCTCAATTTCTGATGACCAGTAATATGGGCTGGCAAATCATAGTCTGTTTTTTTAACTAGAATTTTGCTGGCCCAGCCATGCTCGCTGCTTCTGTACACTCTCAGGCTGCGTGGTAGAAACCAGGACCCGTGACAGAGACTCATCGTCCACAGAGCCTACAATACTCACCCCGACTCTGTTCAGAGAGAAAGATTCCTGACTCTTGAGATGGAAGTAAAGATATATGAGAAGGAAACAACACAAGTAACTTTCCTTAAAGTTCTTTCTGAATAATAAAGAGGCCTCAAAGTAGCGGCCTCTGCATACCATTATCTTGTTTTTTTTACTTCTTTATTCACATTCCTCAGTTGAATAAAATGAATTAAAATGATAGCAATTAGGACCTTAAGAATTTATTTTTCCCAAGAGAAAATGCTTAGCTACTGAAAATAGCAAGAAAATCAAAAGACAAAAGGACACCTTTAAAGTACGTAAATGAAGTCAGGTGTGATGGTGCTCACCTGTAATCTCAGCACTCTGGGAGGCTGAGGGAGGAGGATTTCAAGTTCAAGCCCAGCCTGGGCAATTTAGCGAGACCCTGTTTCAAAGGGGGGGGAGAAAAGCTGGGAGGGAGCTCAGGGTGAAGGCCCTGGTTCAATCCTTAGTACCAGAAAAAAAGTATATCCATGGTAGAAAGGACTATGCTACTTCTTTCAGTCATATCTACCATACTCACTGTAAACTGTGCACCATAATACATAAAATGTTTTAAAACATAAGTATCTGTATGTTACACATACACATTATTGGCAAATGGGTACATGTAGTATATGTACCACAAATACTACAAGAAATCATCCTAATTTTAATTAGACGTAGAATAAAAATCTGAATAATCTAGAAATCATCTGAAACTAATATACTATGAATTTGTATTCATACTTAAAAGCAAGGTCAAATCTAATTTTTAGAAAACTTTACTTGACAACTTCAGTTTACTTGGGGTTCTTTTTCCTTCTCCCCTCCCCAAATTACTGTTTAAATGAGGAGCTAGTAAACTATGCAAAGGGCCAGATGGTAGATATTTTTAGCTTTGTGAGTCATATGGTTCCTGCAGCAGCTACTCAAATTTGCCAATGTAAAACAAAAACAGCTGTAGGCAACACAAAAACAAATGGATGGGGCGGTATTCCAATAAAACTTTATTTATAAATATAAGTAACAGGCTATCTTATATTAGCCCATGGGCCATAGTTTGCTGACAACTAGTTTTAACTATACAAGAATCTTATGACTTAATTAAGTCTTAAGTGAATATACAAAATATTTATTGGCCGAATGTATCTCTACATCACATAATTTAACTAACTATAGCTATTTTTCTTGATTGTCTCATAGATTGTAAGCAACTTGAGGCAAGTGATATAATTATTTTTTATATGTAGATTCTAAAATGGTATTATGGTAAAATGAAAAACATAATTTTGGAGTCAAATATTTATATTTTTCCTTGTAGGCATAATGTGAAGATTAAACCAAAGAAACATAAATAAAAATCCCCACACAGTATCCAGAACACACCTGGCAGTTCATAAACACACAATTCAACTTCCCAAGTCTTTCCACTTGTGACAAATGAGTTAAATTTAATACCTGGATACTAACAAATACCTTGTTCTGCCTCTAGATGAGACCTTGATATCTTTTTGGGAGGACTCATCATCCGATTTCATGTCATCTGATGAAGGAGGTTCATGCAGGTTCTCATCTTTCTCTTTATTTTCAGTCTTGATTTCTGTTGGAACAACAGTTCCAGACTGACTTTGCAAGCCACCTAACAAAGAGGCAGAGGAAACAAACAAATAGATTCACTTAGGAATTCCAACTAAGGGGGTAAAAAGCTTCCTGGATGGTGAATATCCTTAGTTGTTACAAGGGGTATGATGGAAATGTGAATGTGCAGGTTTACTGCTCAAAGCTGGAAAAAACACGTGCAAACTTTTCATGATTTTATAACATTTATATTTAAAAGAACAAGGCCGGGTCGAGGATTTAGCTCAGTGGTTCCACTGCCTGCCTCACAAGCACAAAGTCCAGAGAAGTTCGATCTCCAGTACCAAACACAAATAAACAAACAAATAAAGAACAAGGCCAACCATGATTAACCTAGTGCTTACTTTCAGGCACTACTTACCAAGTAACTATAATTACAAGAAACTTGATGTACTTTAGAAACTAACTTCTAAGATGCTGTCAAAATAAAGGAAATGAACATTTTCCCAGATAAAACACAAAACAGGCATCATGTTTAAATGTAAATGGGAGAACTTTATTTTGATGATGTTACTATTACCTCTATATTTATACTTACTTATAAGCTATATTGTTAACATTGATAGCAACTTGTTTTTTTAAATCAAAATTGTCTCTCCAATTAAATTATAATCTTTGAAACACCAGGTTATTAATATACTTAGAAATAACTCTCTTATTGCCCCTATGGATCATGTAGGCTCACTCACAAGAAGTAACTGAGTAAAAGACATGACAAAAGCAGGAACAGGTAAACACAGCACAGATAAAGCTACTGTCTGTCAGTAAGTACCCATTAGTATGCAGATGGAACCTAGTATGTCCCCACACTCATAGCAGCATCAGCATTTGGGATAGCCCCACCCCCCCTGGATTCTGATTCACAGATGTTAGTCCTACTCTGAGAAAAGTGACAGTATTTCAAATGGTGACTGCATTGCCGCTAAAAACTGAAAATACAGCTACCTCTATAGTTTTCTTGTGTTTTATGGCTCAGGTCTGTGCTTGAAGCAGCGACGGTACTAGACAGGGCTGAATGATTGCCATTGAGACTAACAGAATCTTCCCGATGAGCTCCAACCTAAAGCAAAAACAACAGAAAAAGAAGTCAAGACCTGTCCCTTTTTTTGAGGTGTGGGGAGAATTGGGCCTTATTATATTTAGCCCATGCTGACTGCAAATCCTGGGCCTACAGGATCTTCCTTATCGCAGCTTCCTGAGTAGCTGAATTACAAATACACATCCCCTTTACCCAGGTTGTCTAAACCCTTTTCCTGGGTTTAATTCACCTGAATTTAGCAACATTTTTTTTTTCGGAAAGCAACATTTTTCTGATGCCACTTTTCTAGCACAAAATATGCCTTTAAAAAAAGTACTATCGAAATTTTCAAATTCCACAAAGTTTTTTTTTTTTTTTTTTTTTAATGAGAAGCCAAATAAGCTACTAGAGATAAAGTGTTGTTTCCTATAAAGCACCATATATTAAGGTCTGTTATTGATCCTACATAAATCCCAAACCGTATTTTATGTACTACCTAAACGCTGGTATATTAAAATATATATGACCTTGTATATAACAAAATACTGCTATATTCCAAGTACCAATAATTTAATGTTGGCACCTCACAAACACATACAGTATCTTAGTTTTTCTTTTTCTAACAGTTCTCAATATTTTTTAAGAGTGGCAAAAGCAAAACAAAATTAAAGTAACTTCAAACAAAAGTTTGCATTGCTAGGCAACAACTTTAAGTAAATGTACTGAAGCTATATTAACTGGAAATAAACAGGCAATCATGCAAACATGACCACGTAGTTAGCTGTCACTGTATTTTCAGAAAAAGCTTTTTATTGCCTGGAATTATAAATGAGAACCACTGTTCTTCAGTAAATCCTTCAATCCTCATAAATTGTCAGTGTTGAATCCTCTTCAATAATTAATATAGCTTATCTTTTATGACTATATGAATTTTACTCTGAGAAGTATAAATATTCCTATGAAAGTTTATCCTTTGGTTTTCTGTAAGTGAAACAAAAAGAACCAAAGTAAAATTTTAGGCAATGCAGGTCATTTGGCTGTACAGTTGACTAGAATATATGAGTTTTTCTACCAAACTTTTAAAGAAGCATTTGCCTTTTATCGTTATTCTTATCTTTAATGCATTCTTTAGAAGTCCATATAATGATTCCACTGCTTCTTTTGAAATTACCAGAGGATCAATCACTGCTGACTTGATTGTGACACTGCTCGTGTGGATATTCAAGGACTATGCCCTAAAAACCACATACAAATCATCGTGGATTAGAATCATAGAAGGGGACCATAGAAATGACAGATGACTTCCAATCCCCTTCTCACCAGAGTAAGTTTTAGCTTTGTATTTGCCCTTTCTTCTAAGCATTTGAAAAAAATGTGAAGGTGGGGCATGGTGGTACATGCCTATAGTCCCAGCACTGTGGGAAGCTGAAGCAGGAGGATCACAAATTTGAGTTCCATGTGGCCAACTCAGTAACTTAGCAAGACAATGTCTCAAAGAAAAAAAAAAAGGGTTGGGGGAAGGTTGGGGACATACTTAGTTTGGTTTCATTTTAGTACTTCCCAGAACAACCTGAAAAACTTACCCTTATAACCAATGAAGAAGTGGACTAAAAACCTTATTCAAGAGAGAAATTTATTTTTAAAATGTTTCATGAAATCCTGTCTCACAGGCAGACATCCTGGCAATGTCTGTTCTTAACACAGAAGGGTGTCTTCCTAACTATGAGCTACTCACTAATCTACAAGGAAGGTCAGTTCAAAATCCATTTTATAAAAATAGAAGTGGGATAAACATACATAATATATAGCTACAACTTTAGAAAATACAGCTCAGAACCTTAGAAGGCCAGGACTATTCTAAAGATAAAATATCAGTAAGACAATTCAGATTGGCTCAGGAAAATTTTGCAAGTTGAAACAACAATTCAGATTTCTGTCTGTATTTATTACTGTATGGACTTCAAACTTACCATAATCTCTGAATATGTGCTAATTCAGTTTTTAGCTAGGAGTTAGAACTATCATACTAAGTAATTTAAAAAGAAATAGCCTTTTAAAACTTAAATAGGTTTATGTTTTATATGTTATACATGTTAACAATTTTATAGTTCTGAAGGACAGTACCTTTCAACAGTAACAATTGAATTTTTACTCAGGTGAAAATGGATCTGCTACATTCTTATTTCTTTTTACTTTATTAGAATGATTTTTTTTTATTTCTCTGGAACTTATTAATAAAAAATATTCTATCACCTTGAAGAAAAGCTTGGAAACACAGAATTATTATCTAAACAATAAATCTTAAGGATTCTGTCTTCCTCTTAAGGAAAATCAGGAAGATTACTTGATTTATTTTGGAATATAAATTCCAGCAAACATTTTTGTCTCTATGGAATATTACAAACTAAGAACTTTCTCACACCAACTTATATTATCCGGTTCTAAAAGCAAATTTTAATTGGCATACATAATATAAATGTAAACCTTTAAAAAATAGCCTCAGACTGGCAGGAAGCTTGAAGTCTAAAGTATTTCATGTCAATGAACTTAGCAGGAACTTTTTCTTTGTAACATGATTCACCTTGCAAATGGCCTCATATATTTCCTGGAGAGTTTCATAGTTTAACTGTTTAACAATTTCACTGTTTAACCCTTACTTTACACTGGCTCTACAACTTCCCTTTAATCTGCTGTTGTAACCAAAAGGCTCTGCCTTCACACACAACAGGTGTACAAACAATTCTTTGAGTCTGGAGTCTGTTGGGCTAGCCAGATAGGATCCTGTTTAATTGTCCAGCTTGTTAGCATACAGCTGACAGGCTGCCTCGACTGAGGAGTAACAGTGAAGGCAAAGCTCTTTTCTGCTATGCTTTAAGTTTCAATTATTATTAAGAGCCTCATTTCAGAACAGAAGGCCCATCCTATTAAATGACATCATTCTGCATACGGAACCTTCATAATCTATGTATGGCTTGACTTTTGTTGGAGCACCAACAAGGGACTTGTTTGCATTTCACCCAGCCAATGGCCTTAACACTCACAATGGAAACATGTTAAATCTAATTAGCTGATGAATAAGAGGTCTTGTGAATTAAGGGACCAACTGAAACTACTCAGTATGGATTCTCCTGATTTTGAATCTCATTCTAGTAATTTGTTCAATTTGTACTATTTACTGGATACTGATGAAAATCAATCAGTATCTTAATCTATAGGTGAATTAAAGTTTTTATATACTGTCCTACTCTAAGGTATGTTATTTAAACAGAGGTGTTATTACAGAAACTGGGTAGTATACAAGTGTTATGCTTCCATTTTAAATGATGCTTCCACAAATGCATAACTCCTCTGGTTTTCAAACTTTTAATAAGCTACCATTTAAAACAATTTTTAATTATAAAACGTTACCAAAATCTTTATAAAGCACTAAAATGCAGCTTAATCAAAATAAAAATTTAAGAAATTGCCTATTTAGGGGAAAAACTAGGTTGAAATAGTAACAAGGCAGTCAACAGTAAAATACTCTATTCAGGTGAAACTGACATTTTCTACAATATACAAACATACTACTAAAATTACTATTCAAATGGAAAATAGATTCTAATTTTGATAAATAACAGAAATGCTTAAGTAATTTTGAATAAAATATGCTATTTACCTAAAAACAAAAATCTCCAATAATACAAAAAAAAATTAAAACATCTTGATTATATTTCCTTAGGGTTTTTAATGAAACCAGAAGACCTCATACATGGAATTCTACACAGTTTCTCCTTCATCAAGCTTCCACTGGTATATAAAGATTCTAATCTGTTAGGTTTAAAATTGAAATTATAGCCTGACTGAGGAATAAGTGAGCATTTTGTTAACGACAAAAGCATTATCATAAAGCTAAGCTCTTGCTGGGCCTTGTTATTTCAATATTTCATCCATAATCAGATGTGATGTACAGTAACTTTGTACTGTTGAGACTTGTGTAATGCCCAAATGAAAATGATTCCATTCATTTTTCAATTTTCCACTTAATTTTTCTTCCTGTTACCAGTTTATTCTAGAAGTTTATTCTTATACTAAATAAATGGGAACAAATCGAAAATCCAATGCTGACATTACAATAGCTTCAAAAAGTCTGATTTTGTGTTTTAAAATTAAAATGACAGAACAGGTTCACATACTACAGTGTTTGACAAAAAGTCTTGAGTTTTACATTTGTGTAGGCAAATAAAGGGAAATCTATAAGAATACTGAATAGGAGGAGAAAGTAAACAAAATCTAATTCCATTAAAAAAATAAGTATGAGTATGCCTGGTGGAGGCAGCACATGGTATCTGGCAAAGTTGCAACAGGCGTATGCCTCTCAGCAAGGATGTAAAAATGGAAAACAGTACTATATCTTGATAGATAACACTATACAATAGCTTGGGTTTATTATTCGTGGCCTTGATGATGCTCTAACTATGCCAGACCCATCCAACATCTCACTAGACCCTTTTCCTAGACTACTTTGTGTTTTTTCCCTTTTTTAAAGGACATTTCTAGCAGTTCTTTGATTTTCTGAAGCAAGCAGGCAGAGACATCTGTAGATGATATATTAGGAGCTACCCAGTAGTTGGGAGGTTGAGGCAGGCGAACCACTAAGTTTGAGACCAGTCTAGGTAATTTAGTGAGACATTGTATCAAATGAAAAAGAGCTGGGAATGGAGCTTAATAGTAGCCTTGGATTCAGTCCTTAGTATATAGCACCAAACCCCAGCCCCCAAAACCAAAAAACCAAACCAAAATACCCAAGACTTCATCTACCAGTCCTTTCAAAATGTACTACCTTTCTACAGGACTTTGGAGGACTGGATTTTGAAAAATCTCTTTTCTTAATCAAGGCACACCGAAGTTGGTATAAACAACTTCCCCAAGACAAAAAAAAAAAAAGTTCCATTTTATGTTAACTCCACATTTAGTTGGGAGGAGATAGCTCTATTAAATATCACAACAGATAAATTGGAATAAAAGCAATGAGCTAACAGAAAAATTATGATTAAAAAAATAAAAATAAAAAACAAATGCTGCAATTGAGACCACAATGGGACCCAGTACAATGATTTTTAAGTTATTCTTCTAAATAAGGATAAACAGCACATTAGCAAATTATTAGTTTGGTATTCTAGATTCATATTTGCAAAATGCCATCCTACTGATTTATAATACCATTAAAATTAATTTATTAATACTACTAGTAACTACCTTTATATTTCAATGAACTTAATAATTCAAAAATATTTCCATAATTATCAGCCTATTAAACAGCAATAAAACCAATTTTAAAGGAGTATAAATTTCAAATTTTCCTGATATTAAAAAACAACAAAACAGCATCTTTGTGGAGATATGCTGGATCTGGTATCATCACCAGGCAGTACAAAACACTAGTCCTACAAGTCAGGCAGCCTTGTTTGATGTTTACCTAGGGTCTTCCAAATGAATATAAAGGGCTGACTGACGCTTGACTTTGGAAATCTGGAACCAATCCTATTTTATAGAACATACGTTTTTGGCAGTTGGGACACCTAATTATTTTGATGGTAAGTGACTTTTAGCCTTGATCACTTTGCTTATAGCTAGAATTTATTTAATAGAAGACTATTTCTCAGCATGCAGTGAACCTCAAGAACCATGCCATAAACATGCAAACATATGGTATTAATTAAATAGCAGGTTCAAAAAGAATTTCACTCTTTTAAAAGAAAATCTGGATAGAAAATAATGTAAAACATTCAAAACAGAATTTCTGATGTGTAAGGGTTGTAGGCTTACCCTGTCCCCACAAATTACCGTGTTTTTTCAAAGAGGGATTGAATTATTTTATTCTCTTGTGGGAGTAATCTAAAATTGCTTCTTTACTTTATTACTTAAATTATAGCTGTTCTTAAAACTAACCCCCCCCTTTTATTTCATCTGCAAATAAAGTTTAAATTTGGGCTTGTACAAATTGAAGTTTCACATTTTTTTCTGCTGTTGAAGGTAGATTCTAAAGTACAATAAACAATTTTCCTAGAATAGAATCCTTGAAATACAGTCTTGTTTTATTGCATTGTTATTCAAACTTCCTGCCCACTTTTTCAAGGCACAAACTGTTGTGCCAATCCCTACACACTTGGAAAAACAAAACCCAGGTTTCAAACAGCTAAAATGGCATCTGTACAAGTTTTCTTCTTGTACATACTCATAGCAGGACTTTCTGGGTCAATACTCAACCCTAGACAATAAAGGAAACTTAAAAGCATCTTTTCACCTTCCTTTCAAAAAGAGACTCTTCCCCAAAGAGTTCATGGAAACATTTAGAGCAGCAGTCTTTAGGGCTATTTTACCATTGAAGCTGATCGATTGTTTGTAACAAGGCTTGATCCTCCATAGTTTGAACTGAGGCTTCCAATTGGTGCATTATGGGATGGTCCCAATAAACTGTGAATATCACTGTGACCAGTGGGTAAACTGGTGGAAGGTCCCACAGCATGGTTCCGCAGCACGTGGATAGCATCATCCAGTCTGTCCAAACGATCCTCCATTCGAGACTGCTGTAAGGATTAAAACAAACATGGAGGTCACTGCTAATATCTGTTCAATTTAACAAGCTGTTATGTTTCTTATTTTGGGATATGTGAAAGACTGCAAATGAAATAGAGTATCAGGCAGCTTCAAAACCAACTATCTGCACTACAAAGCAACAATAAAAATAGAGGCTACCCGCAGGCTCAGAAACAAACTTTCATAAGAGAAATTTACCAATCTGCTATGAGGGTATTTCTTTTAGTTTCTATAAAAGATGAATGGTATTATAGTCAATAGGGCAACATGTTCAGGGCCCCTTATATCTACCAGGAACTATTCTTATTCCCTATTCCTATTCCCCAGTAAATTTTCCTGCTCTTAACCTCAAAAAAAAAAAAAAAAAAAAAAAGTCAATAAAAAGAATAAACTATAGTTTAATGAAAACGATGTTAATTTTGGAAAGGGTCCTCAAACCCATCAATTTAAGTTGTTTTATTTTAGGTGAATAAAGTATACCTATCTTTATTGGTAAACATATCCATATATGGTCTTTAATAAAAGTGAAGAAATGACATTGTCTATCTGTGGATACACACATACACAGGCCCCATACACAAACATATTAGAATTTTAAAAATCAAAAGCACATGCCAGCAGAGCTCTTAGAAAAATCATTCTTGGCCAGGCACAGTGGTGCATGCCTGTAATCCCAGCACTCAGGAGGCTGAGGCAGGAGGATCACTATGAGTTTGAGACCAGCCTGGGCTACATAGTGAGTTCCAGGTCAGTCTCAACTACATAGTGAGACCCTGTCTCAAACAAAACAAAACAAAACAAAACAAATCATTCTTAACAACATAAGTGACAAAAGTTTATTCTTACATATTGTTATGAAAACTAATGGTCAAATATTCAATTTTAAGACTCTGGAGTCTGTACAGATTTTAAATAGGTAATGGAAGGATAAGTAAGTAAAACACAAAAAAGGCACCATCTAAAAGAAATAGTACCTCACAGACATCCTTTAAGAAGGACATTGCATCCTGCAAATGCTCGTGAAGTTGCTGCTCAACTCGATTTTTCTGGCAAAGTCAAGACAGAACAGGAGGCAAAGCACAGGTTAAGATTAACTCCAAAAGAGATGAGAAAATAGCTGATGTGCATGTTGGCATAACATGTTAGTAAAGTTAACACGGAGATCTGAGAGACCTATGTGTATTAAGGTATGAGAAGGCTGGAATTTAACAAGGAAGTTGCAAGGTTAGCATCTAAATAGTACACATTGCTTATATTTGCTTGCAAAATACACAAGAAGAAAACTTTCCCTGAATTTAAAATGTTCTGTTAGTCACAGAAAAAGAACACTTCCATTTGCAAAATGGAATTATTAAATGATAGCATGTTTTAAGCATTCCATTAGCTCATCTTTATTTTGTTTTTATTATACTTTGTAACTGTGGGTTACAAATTTAAGTATATAAAAGCAACAGTAGTTAACATTCTACCACAATTTCTTCACCCTCTGGTATTTAAAAGGTTTCTTTTCTGTCTAATTTGTCTGGTGGGCAATGTTTCCCTTGTATGATTTGCACAATATTTCTTAGTTATAGGAAGACATAGAAAATAACATTTCCATGACAAAAATAATTGATATTCACTTAAAAATTTAAATGTAATAAATGTAAAAATGTAATAATATGTTCATACGATTTTAAAAAGTTTTCCCTTATACATAAACATAAAAGTATAGAAAAGCTAAGCTCAAGATTTGTCAAAGAAACAGGTCTTACAACACCATTTAACACCAGCTGTCCTGATACCAAAAGCCTGATGCCCCCAACAACAGATGGCAAAAGGCACACTCAGTATGTTTTTTTTTGTTCAGCTAAATCAGGCCATTTGTTAGCAAAGAATTTGTGTAAGGCTATCTTACTGTTTCTTCATTGTTACCCAAGATTAAAAAAAAAAAAAAAAGAACTTCAAATTATGTATAGATAAAAGTCTGTAAGACTTGTAAATATCTAGAAAAGGCTCTTACCAGGGAGTGGAGTGAATTTTCATAGGTTGGGGATGAAGGAGCTTGCCCTCCTGGTCTAGGCCACTGAGTGGTACCTGTTTAAAGCCAAAAGCGCCCAAAAGTTAACTCAGCAATCTTGACAATGCTCTGAGGAAAAAAGTCATAATTCATAAATAAATTCACGTGGAAATTTAAAAAAATTATAAAATTTAAAATGCCTTGAACATAGATTGGTTACTTATTAACCCAAAACATTAAACAAAACAAAATTCATTATCTTTCATTATCTGTCATCACAACAGCACAGGAAGCTGAGAAAACAAAGAAAACAACTATACCAGTTACTTTCAAGTTTACATATCCTTTAGACTTTGTCCATATGCATATATATCTTGAGAAAATGTATTCTAATGTACAGTTTTTTAAATGCTATCTCATCTCCCCTCCCCATCATGGTTTTACAATCTTTGATAATACTATTAATTACTATATTAATATTTACCTGTATATACTTGAATTTGCTTAACCAGCTATTACCTCATCATTGGAAATGCTGGGTGGTGCTAATTAGTTATGATGAATAGTGCTATAAAATCATAATTTTTTTCTTGAGAAATGCATGTTTTCAAGATAAGTAGCTTTCTCAATTAAAAGGTTACATACAAATTTATAATCCTTAAAATTCAAAAGATCGAACTGATTTACTAATGTGTGATATTAACTGATACAGTGACTTAGCAGTCAGTGCACAGATAAACCAATTCCAAATGACTAAAAACACGTCTAGGGTCACTTAAAAATTTCCAAACATGACTTATTCTAATACACACTATTTCATTTGAAAAATATCAGTATAAAAACTTTTGTTAAATTTTTTTGGATGTTAGGAAACTAGAAATAAAAAGTAATGAAGATGGAAAAAGAAAGGGTAAGAGTTAATGAAGAGTGAGGCTGAGAATGGAGCTTGGTGCTTAGGATGCATAAGGCCAAGGCCATAGGTTTACATCTCAATACCAAAAATAAATGAGCAAATAAACAGAGTGAAAAAGAGGAAAAAGCCATAAGGGAAACAATTCCTCCATATGTTGGTGGAATGCAATGCTTTAATGGGTCTTGCCAAAATAGTTTTAAAGAGAAAAAAGAAACCATCAAACAACTCAAAACAAAACAAAACAAAAATCTCGAAACAATTTATCAAAAATCTTCAGTTTCATGACCATTCGCCTAAAACTAAATTATTCACAGAAATGAATAAAGACCATTCAACAAACTGTTCATGCATTACTATCCTTCATGAAAATTTCTGTGACAGCCTCAATTATGTTGGAGATCTAAAGCTGATGGTGAAGATTTATTTGTTTTGTTTTGCTAAGTGATGTTTAAATGTTGGTATAGGTTCATTTGTCATTCAAGAAGTAGAAGATAATGTCAAATTATAACCTGTTATCTCAAAAAAAAGTAAGTTGGAATATATTTATTTTAGCTACCACTTAATTACTGAACAATCTGATCATTGAGCAACTTACAATTCTCATATATTTTTCAAGGTGATAAGCTGCTTACACAGATTTGTAATATTTTGATTAGCTTTCACAAGTGTTACTGTATAGTTATGATTATACCAATACATTTTTAATACTAAATATATATGCTATGTGCTTTAGTTTTTTGTTTTGTTTTCACTGAAAAACAAATTACTTTGAGGATTATTAAAGGCTTCATACTAGACAAACACATGTAACCACAAATCAACCACACAATCAAATTTTGGATGATCTCTTTGTTCACTGAAATGAACCTGTGGGCTAATTTTATAATTAACACATAAAACTCAGCAAGCAGGAATTTATACAAAACCAATTTATAAAAATCAACCAGGTAATTAACACTTTATCGTGACTTCAGTACACAGTGCTTACTAAGCAGTGATCCAAAAGAATTTTTTAGGTGGACAATCCTACTCTACTTTGGAGATGCTAAATTACTGAAAAATACCTTCCCTTAACATTTATAGTGTTTTATAATAATTCTGCTCCACTTTTCTTCGAAATTCCCTTGGAGTGCTCTTCCTGCCAGTGCTACCAGCCTAATCATCAAGTTCCTTAGCTTGGTTTTACATGTGAACAGTTCAGAATCATCAGCATTTGTATGGGCTTTCAGGCAGTTTTTAGGGTTCTTCACTAGCTTAGTGCTGAAAATCATATAAGCACTAAGGCAAGAAATGAGCTCCACTCACCATTTCCCTCACTATGGTGCTGGATATTTTTCCCAGGGGCTTGTATAAGGCTAGGCAAGCACTCTACCACTCCAGCCCCTTTTTGGTAACATGAAGAAACTATGTGAAGGTCTATCTCCAAAATATGATCCATTCAACTGGAAAAAACAGATACATACTTGAAACTATCTTGTTTTCATTCTTATAGATTGGGCCACCAATGGTTACATGCTTGGTTGCAGAATACTAACATCAGTGATGAGGTATCTGCTTGAACTTGAAGTATTTCCAAGCTATACTTAATTTTATTTTTCAAGCTGTATTTATTTCACAGACACATTTCTTGTTACTCCTCCCAGTCATTTCAAAATGGACACAAATGGGCTGACGTGATGGCCAGCTAAGAGAGAGCTTAGCAGAGGTTAACATCATGGATGGTAAAACTCAAAAGAGAGCATAGAATCTTAGTGGATACGAGGAGTTAGTGGATCAATCATTTAGGTAATCTGTACTATCAATTTTGTGAGCTCAGATATAAAATAAGGACACATTTTGATTTTTAAAATCTGCCTCACAAAGTGTATCTTCCCTGCCCTCCTTTTTCCTTTTTTTGAGACAGGGTCTTGCTATGTAGCCAAACGCTTAGTGATCCTTTCTCAGCGTCCTAAGGTGCCGGGATTACAATTGTGCTCTAATATGCCCTGATACAAAGTTGATCTCAACAGATATGAAGGTACTCACTTGATAAGCCTAAAGGTCTTTTAAATCATGGGCATTACTGTCATTTCTTTCTAATGATGCATTTTTCATGCAATAAACAAAGAGGAAAAAAGTATTCCAGGACCTTTGAAATCTTAGACTAATGATGACTCATTAGTTGCAAATGAAATTTTTGAGGGTGGGAGTGAGATTCAAATTCTGAACAGAGACAATATTAGCATGTGTCTGACATTAGACAGACCTGCAGCTTCATCTCTTTATAAAATTAGAATGTGAAAATTGGATATTGACATGTAAAAGGCTGAGTCTACACTCAGCTCTCATGCACTAAACTAATATTAAAATGGATCAAAGATCTAAGATGAAATAGGCAAGCTGTTGAAGACATAGGTATATGAAAGGACTTTCTGAAAATAACTCCAAGAGCACCACACATGTGTAAATACCGAATAGTTTCTCTAGTGTGAAAAAATATAATAGTACATAAAATCCTAATGAGATAACTGACAATGTAAAATAGGAAGAAAAGGGCTAAAGGTGTAGGGAAAGTGGGAAGGGTAGGGGAAAGGTTAATAAGGGAAAAGAAAAAAAATATGAGAAGATGAAAAAATGGAAATAAAGTGTTTGTAAATGGGGAGGGGAGGAGAGGGCGAAGGGAGGGCAGGGACAAGGGGAAAAAATCAGAACCAAGACCTGTCATGTAAAGGTACAAGATCCCAATAATGAATGTAACTATACTGTATACCTAAAATGTACCAATAAACTCAATTAAAAAAGAAAGATAAAAAAGAACTCCAAGAGCACAAGAAATAATACTGAGAATCAACAAACAGAATCACATCAAATCAAAAAGCTTCTCCACAGCAAAGGAAACTAACACAGTGAAGAGACAACCTACAGAATAGGAAAAAAATATATATTGCCTGCTATTCCTTAGACAAAGGAATACTAAAGAATGTATAAAGAACTAAAAAATATTAGACTCCCCAAAATAAAAGAATCAAAAAAGGTGCAACCAAAATGAACAGATACTTCTTAGAAGTACAAATGGTGAATAAATACATGAAAACATGCTCATCATCACTGGACATCAGAAAAATACAAATTAAAACTATACCGAGCACCGGGGATTTAGCTCAGTGTTTCTGCTGCCTGCCTTGCAAGCGCAAGGACTCAAGTTTGATCCCCAGTACAAAAAACAGCAACAACAAAAATCCATACTGAGATTCTGTCTTACTCCAGAAAGAACAGCTATCATCAAATCATCAAACAATCTAATAATAACAAAAATGCTGGCAAGGATGAGGGGGAAAAAGGAACTCTTTTATATTGTTTGTCAGAATGTAAAGTAGTACAATCATTGTGGAAATCAGTGTGTAGATTCCTCAAAAAAGTAAAAAGAGGAATTCCATTTGATCAAGCTATACCTTCTAGGTATCTTTCCAAAAGAGTTAGCAAAATTATATTATAGAGATATATGCATACCCACATTTATGAGCAGCACAGTTTATAATAGCTAGGTTTTGGAAACTATATATATACATAGTTGAATTGTCAATAAATATATATTGTCAATTTTCTTACTCTGTTAGTTGTTTTCCTTGTAGTATTCCCCTAAACTCAAATTTTCATTAGATCCCTTAAAGCTTGGAAAAAGCTGGATAATGCCAACCCTTAAGGCAGTGGTGCATACTTTGTTCTCCCCAGCTCAGCCCCCGCCAACCTCTCCATGTTAATGTTCCCTATTCCCATGCATGAACTGTTCACTGTCAGGCCCTCAGTAACTCTGGAGGGATAGCTTATACACCTTCTCACAACTGGGTTGCTGCTATGTTCTGCCTGTTATATCCAGAAAATTCCCTCTCCTCTTTTAAAATCCTACTCTTCCAGGAAACCATGCATTTAGAGTAAGTTCTGTGGCTCTATTTTCATCTTACAGTCTCAATTAAACAAAATTTTTTTCTGAAATCAGACAACTGTTTTAACACCAGGTATGTCTGACTATAAACTAATATCTCATTGAATTCTAACTAAAGATTTCACTTACTTATTTAACTGTAAATGCTAAGGACTGCTACTGACTCCTGCAATTACTGAACTTTTATTCATTTCTACTCCATAATGAAGTATAAAGAAGGGCAAAGAATATTTTTGCTTCTCTGTCTTCTAAGCACTCATGCTAAACATATTCTAAGCACTCTTGCCGGGCGTGGTGGCGCACACTTGTAATCCCAGCACTCAGGAGGCTGAGGCAGGACCAGCTTGGGCTACATAGTGAGTTCCAGGTCAATCTCAACTACGTAGTGAGACCCTGTCTCAAAACACAAAACAAGACAAAAATGCTGTGTCTTTACCTATCTGACCACTGCAGCATAGTCATTTCTCTCTTCTTCCTTGATACTGGAGTCCTGATTGCATTCCCAACAGTGTGGCTAGGTGGGCCTGTCCTTTCCTAGTTCAGAGTGGATATCCCTCTCCTAGCCTGAAAGTTCCATTTGTAAGCAACTGCATTGAGCCCAGTGCTGACCAGTGATGAGAAGAAGTCTGTTGAAGAGGCTTCTGTAAAAGGTTTTTTAACAGACAAGGAACACATGGCCCTTTTTCTTCTATTGGACATTCCACACTAAAGTACCTTAAACAGCTATCTTGCCACTAGCCAGAAAAAAAAAAAAAAAACTGCTAAGAAGCAGAGTAGGAACCCTGAGACACAAGGCCATGACCTTGCCTGCTATGGGCTTCTGGCCACACATGGTAACAAATGTTCTTATAGTTCAAGCTGTCTGGGATGAGAGTTTCTTTTCCTTTCATCCCTAAAGCATCCTAACTGATACAGTATCTCAGAAGCTTCCTCATAAATATTGTGTAGATAGAAATTTATGTTCCTGGCTTGTAAAGTTCCAAAGGACAATGAGGGGGATTAAACCAAAATAAATGTCTAAGAAGCTGCCTGTGTGTACTATCAACATCTGTCTGTTCCTCCTTACAAAGTCTGTGCTTAAGTTCAATTGATTGATACTCAGGCAGAAGGAAAAGAGCGAGTGTACTAGAGCTGCTCTTTTTCTTTTTCCCTTACTGTCAATAGTTTTAGAACACAGTGCTTTCTTTTCTTTCTCTCTTTCCATCACTGCTTCACCACAGGTGTGTGCGTATGTGTGCAGAACGTAAGGCTAAGAAAGCACTAGATACAGAATTCAGGGGAGATACATCTCCACAAAATCAGTATTTGATTTGATGTTTCTGCAGAAGTATATGAAAATATTTTTCTTTGATTATGACTGCTGAATTGAAAAGGAGGCCCATTATTAACCTTCATTACACAATTCAAAAGTCTACATTTTCATTAATCAGTTGAATTATTATTTTTTTGGGTGGGGGATCGAAATTGGGTCTTGTGCTTGCGAAGCAGGCACCAGAACCACTGAGCACCCTAATCAGTTGACTTATAAGGTGAAAAGAATACCACTCATTAAAGCTGGGTGTGGTGGCACACATCTATAATCCCAGCACTTGGGAGGCTGAGGGAGGAAGATCACTGTGAGTCTGAGGCCAGCCTGGGCTCCACAGTGAGTTCAAGGCCAGCCTTGACTACATAGCAAACCCTGACTCAAAACAAAACAGAAAACAAAACAAAATATCACACACTAAGCATCACATAAAGGTGGAGATGGGCATGTGAGGTTTTTCTTGGGACCATTATTTTTTTGAAAATGTCTAAGTATCTTATTCTCCATGTCACTGAGGTACCTTCATACATGTTGAGCTCTATCACAACCTCCCTCTCCAGTGTGAACTACATTAAGGACATGTCGGGAGCAATGATTCTAGGCAGAGAAGAACAGTAGATATGTACAGTAAGGATGAATGTGGATACCTCAGATGAGAAAGTGAAACAGTCTGTGCAAAAATGGCACTGCTAATTTTAGTAGAAGTGTGCCAAGGGGGAGAATAGGATTAAAAGTTACATCATTCTTTCTGTAATTTCAGCTCTGTTAAGCAACAACTTTAAGTCAATGGGTCTTTCAAAGTCTTGTCTGGGTGAGGAACAGCTGCTCAACTTTTACTAGACAGCTGAAGCCAGAATGTCTGCGAAAGTGGCAGAACCTAATAGCTGCCAGCAGCTGCCTGCAGTTCATCATCCACAGTGCAGTGCTGCTGAGCACTCAGACTCACAAAGCACAGGTGAGAGCAGGACCTGCCACCTCGGAGCTCCAGTTGGCAGAAACTGTACACAATGGCAACAGGCTTGAAAATAAAAATCATGTGAACACTGGCTCGTAGTGGTTTAGGAAAATGATTATTTCTGTACTCAATGCCTGTTGAATGAATACAGCAATTTTAGTCATTTGCCTAATAATGTCTTTTCTTCAGAGAAGCTATGCAATTTTTTCTTCAGCGTTCTCCAAACAGTTACAAAAATAAAGGTCGAATTTTAAAACTATAACTTTAAAAAAAAATTTTTAGCTTAACATATACACATTTTTATGTAACTTTATTCCTAGTAAGTATAAAACAATTCTAATTTACAATAGCAATTTGTTTCAACAAATTCATACTGTAGGTCAGCATCTTGAACTTGTCAAAACTGTTATGGAAAAAACCAGAGGAAGTAAAGCAGATCGGACCATTTAACATATCTCAACTAACATTATTCAGCCATAAGCATAGAGAGCTCTTTTCCTTAGAAGAAAAATAACATAATCCCTAAGAATTCTGTTAGTGTGTTTTATATTATGCATGTGAAACAATGACTTAGTGGGCCTAAAAAAATAAAGAAAGCCTATTTACTTGAGCAGTTACTCATCTATTAGTCTCACACATGGTCCTCGGCAGTGTGGAGGACATGGCAGAAGGTCGTTTCATGTAGTTTTCATGATTTTTGTGGTGTTAGGGATTAGAACTAGGCCCTCATGTATGCTAAGCACACACTCTACCACTGAGATATATCCCCAACACTTGTGCTTCTAAAACGATTTTACTCTATGCCATTTTATTAAAAATTTTTCATTTTGCTCCTCTGTATCTTACCTTCATTCCAACTGCCTAGCTTTATTTTTACTCTATTACAATTATTATTAAAAATAATCACAACTTTAAGAATCTAGGAAGATATGCACAAGTAAATCAAAACTATCAAATATTTCAGGATTGTCCAGAATGAATCCAGGATGCTTTTGTTTAACTGAAAAATAAATGACTAAAATATTTCCAAGTGGACTCATATGTTAAGAAGTAGTCAGATAAAAGAGAATCCTACCTGTCAGAGGTGAAGGTGATCCAACTGGTGTTGATGGGTTTGATGGAAAACTACTGCTTGTATGGTCGGGAGAATAAATCTAATCAGAAAACAAGAGATACACATGAATCAATATGCCCAGAAGGCAAAAACCTTCAGTCTATTCACAGGGAATAATTTTTATAATCTAAGGTGTCCTTCCATCCAAGATGTACAGTGAAAAGGTTTTTCATCAATTTAAGACAAATTTATGAGATAAAGGCAAAAGTAGTCTCACTTTGAAAACTAGAATAAAAAAGATATTCTAGTTAGAAATAATATAAGGTTTCTAACTGTTACTATAAAAAACAAGAAGTGCCGGGCATGGTGGCGCATGCCTGTAATCCCAGCACTCGGGAAGCTGAGGCAGGATGATCACTGTGAGTTCGAGACCAGCCTGGCCTACACAGTGAGTTCCAGGTCAGTCTCAACTATACAGTGAGACCCTGTCTCAACAACAACAACAACAACAACAAAAAACAAAACAAGAAGTGATTATAAAGGTAACAAATCTGATAATCTTTCAAGAATATTTCATCTAAATAAGCATTATCTTTAAAAAATGATCACCTAACGAAAACTATTAACCAATTTTTTGAAATGCCAGTACCAGCAAGGTCCTAGATTTGATCCCCAGCACCAAAAACAAACAAATTAAAAAATCTTTAAAAAGTTTTAAAAGCCAATCCAAGAAAATTATTTCGGGAAGTTATTACTTACCTCTTATTTTAAGTTACTAGTTTCAACAATAACCTATTTGCCAAATTTAGACCCAAATTAAAAATTAAGCTTACTCTCAAAGGTTTCTTTATCACCCTTGGAAAAAGTGAAAACAACAACAACAAACTTCTGTAATGACAGAACTCCTTGAAGTGGTAACATATCTGTATTTACAAATTTTGGTATTTTTAAAAAATGTTGCTATACTTATTATATATTGTATTGTCAAGTAAAGGTGACAGAAATTCATTCAAGTTTACTTAATTAATCAGTAAATATTTTTAAAAGTCCCTTTAATTCAGGTGTCAAAGGCCCCTGAAAGGTCTCTTCTGGAAAACTCTATTCTTATAAAAAACAAGTAAGTTATTTTTGCATTTCAGCAAATGAGTCAACTTCTGTGGCCAAATATTGTAAAAGGGAAAACTATGCTTGGGTATAAAGAGTTCTCCTATAGACAGAGCCTCAGTCTCAGTTAAGTTTAGAACTCTAGCGAATTTAAAGTGGCCCTAGTTATGGCATGTAAGGGTCCTAATAAGTACTGGTTTTAAAGAAGGCATAATAAATTTTTTCAACATCTGAAAAACCCAGGTATTAGGACACACTCATGTAGAAGAAATTCCACAAGTCACAATGAACACATGTAAAGGCTTTCACTTTTACATTTTTCACTAATTCCAAATTGCAAAAACAGCAAAAACTGTATTCTCCTTTGATGGATGCCATCTACTTCAACTAAAATATACCAATTATATAACTAAAAGATTTATTTATTTATTCATTAATTCATTCAGGTCACCGAACTGCTGAGCTAAAATATTTTAATTGTAAGTATCTTTTTACATTCTAATTGCCAGGATGTTAAGCTGCATAGTCAAATTAAGTCATTTTGGAAAAGGAAAGCTATGGAAAAGAATTCAAGAGACTTTCAAACTGGATGTGGTGGTGCACACCTGTAATCCCAGTACTTGGGAGGATAACAGAAGGAGGCTGCTGTGAGTTCCAGGCTGAGATGGGCTGCATGGAGAGTTCAAGTCCAGCCTGGGACTATATTATGACCCTGTCTCAAAATGTCTAAATGAATTCAAGAGACTAAGTAGGAGTACTTACTAACAGGGAAGTAGTATAAGATCAATATTATTGGTCTTAAAAGTTGTTATTTAGGGGTAGGGGTGCAGCTGTTGTCCTGAGCTGCTGTCTTGCACAGTGTTGTGAATAATCACCTTTCTGTTTCTAACAATAAAAAGAATGAAAGAAGAATGATGTTTGGTGCCTTTCCTAATGTAGTCACAACGTATCTTTCTATTTTCTATAATATATGTATCCTGTTATCCTCAGTATTTTTTCATTTTCTGAACAGAGCTTGCCTTTCTTTCAGAATGTCTATTTATTTGTCCTTCATGGAACTGTTATCACATCAAAGTTTATTTAGCTCAAATGTCAACGTGCCCATTTCTATCTCACCTATAATATTAGAATAACCTGAACTTCTCTTTATAAGTTTTCTTCACACTGTGTCTCACCATCATTATTTGGTTATCTGTCTTATTTTTCCTGTTTCATTGTAAGCTCTTTGAGGGCAGGGACTGTGTGCAGTTAACAATGAATCTATCATTGCCCACCTCAAGGTATTCAATGTTCTTTCTAACACTTGAATGACAAAATTGTTCTTGAAATTTGCTACAATACTTATTGATTACAAAAAGGCCCCTTTTTTGGTGTGTGTAGGGGCACTAGGGTTTGAACCTTACACATGCTAGGCAAGTGCTCTATCACTGAGCTACATCCTCAGCTCCAAATCAGGACTGTTTACACGGTGGTATTTATCTTAGTATTTATACAATCGGGTATCTCATTAATAGAAATACCAAAAGGAAAAAGAATTTGTTATACAGGTAATTTTATTTCAATTTAGTTTTATAGCATAAGATTTGAGAACAGTTAGTGAGGTTCTACAATTCTGAGAATGTGTATTAATGTACTGTAACTGATCTCTCCATAGCACATCATTAGGTACGTATAGGCTTTTGAGGGTATAAATGGACTACTAACCCTTACTTTTCCTCCTAACTCTGCCCTTACAGTTAATCTCTAAGCATGTCAAGAAATGCTGACAACTCCTTTTTTCAAATAAGGAAGACATTATACTTTAGAGTTATCTAAGATCACTACCTTTAAATGAATTCACAGAATGTTCTAGTCCTATGTGTAAACTTATAAAAATCACTGGTCAAAAAGAAGGAGTACCAAAACTATATCAAGTATAAAAACATATTTCTGGTATTTTTTCTCAATTTGTACAATAAAAAGCCATTTTTTCCCACTCACTCATCATATTTGCTGGTTCTAATTTACCATTTAAAGTGAGGACAGACAGAAATATTTGCAATACATTTTCTAAGCATACAAATGGCCCAGCAAGTTACAGAACCCTTTCTTATCCCTTTTACTTTCTTAAAAAGAATTGTTATGTGGGGAGAGAAAGACCAATACAACATTAAAAAGGCATAACATAATCTTTTGGGTCATCAATCATTTCACTAAACTTAATCTTTGCAAATTTATTCCATTAGGGAATTATGAATACATTATATTTATTCCATAGAAATTGTTAAGCTACTTTAAGAAATTTTAAACACCAGGCCTTATTTGGCAAACAGCATTTTAAATCAAACATACACTTCTTTTTGTATTTTCTGGCCTTAAAGAACTCCAACACTAGTGTTTGAGGGAGAAAAAAAGAAGTCAGTAACTTAAAAGTGGGGGTGGGGCAGCTTAGTTTAGAGCATGAACAAAGTAAGCGCTCATTCAGCATGCAGCCCACGTCCCCACCACTAAATGACCAATGATGAATAAGTCCCAACACCTTCTGCCAGGCTTATGTGGTAATATGCCTTATTTTACTGCAACAAATGAGGCTCCTCCTCCTATCAGTCATGGTCCATTCCAACCAGCAGGGTGCCAATAAGCCAAAGGCTAATGAAAAGAGACTCAAACAAAAAAGAAACAATGGAGAGCTCCTAGGCCCAACTCTGGAACTGTGAGCCCAATTTTTTAAACACTACAGTGCACATTTCAGTTAATCTTTATTATGTTAATGTTATTGAGTCTAAGGAACAAAGAAACTTATCTCATGAATTACTTTTAAATGTCAACTTCCATGAATTTTCTTTTGTTACAGACTATCGACCATTAACCATCCAGATAGCGCGCACACACACACACACACACAGACACACACAGACGTGCGCGCTCTTTGCACCCTTCTTGCTCTGAGGTAGAAATCAAAACATAAATTATCACAAAGAAGTCTGATATAATCAACAAAGTTAAACAGTCCCCTTGTTTGATCTCCTTTAAATTAAAGACTGAGTGTTTTGATATGGTATTAGGCACTGAAATAAACCAGATGTTTCTTCCTCTACAGAACTCTCCATGGGCACAATCTTAAAGGGTTATTGTCTGGCAAATGTTCAGGGAAACACATTAGAAATGGCACGAATACACAGATTTTCCCTGCCTTCTATCTACCCTAGTTTATTATCTAAACTAATGCATAATCCACAGGGCTTTGGGAACTTTGTGTAAATACTTTCATGTACAATTCTCTTTCTTGCTATCCTGAGATTAAGACCACAATTATCCAGGCTTAAACCTAAAATAAAAGAACATTTGCAAATGCATTATCTGGCCTTACATGTTTAATCACATAGTATTCAGGGTGCTCTTTAATACCTAAACTGTAGAACAAAGGTTGCATCCTCTGATGTTGCACACATGAAAGACCTTCTAAGGCATACATCAGACAACTAGAGAACCAGAATTAACTTTTAACGATAATGCAGTATTTCTCCACTTAAAGCTAAATGCTATATTGAAAATATTCTAAATAATTTCAAATACTTATGGTCACCATTTCCAAAGATCTGTAATATTTAACACAAAATTCTTATACACGTTAGACAGTCAAATGTAATCCTTATGAGGTCCTTCCTTCTAATCTCTTCTAATCTTTCCTATCCCAAGATAATGTAATATTTTTATTTTTTAGTACATATAAAGCATTAAACACATGTTTAAGTGAAGGTGAGTCCGTAATAGAAGTTAAAGAAAGAATGTGTTTGGGAAGGTGTCTAGATTATGGGTGTTGGAGACAGATTGAGGGAAGGGATTTGAAATCTGCAGACTACGGCATGTAGTGAGTGATGGAGCAGATGGAATGCATCATCATCAGCTATGACAGAAATGATTTATGGAATGACCTGGCTGCTCCTGCCTCCTAACACCACAGGAGGACAGAGCTGCATTTCCATGACAACCAAAGCCCACCCACTAATTAGATTAAACATTTCTTCCCTGTCTTTCATTCAGAGTGAATTTGGATTTTCTTTTCCAAATGACATCCTACTTGGGCTAGTATGTGTTTGGAATATGGGAAGACACTCAAGCACTTAAAGAGTAACAAAAAGATCTTGAAGACCACTGAGAATACCACAGATTCTTGGCTGGTCTATACGCCAAGTTTCTTTACAGAAGTTTTTCACAAACAAATGACCTAAGACGAAAGACAAAAAATCTGAATTGCATATTCTATTTTAAAAGGTTACTTAATATTAAAGCTTCAAATGTTATTTGTCGTCTTACATGTGAAGTATCTGTTAGTGCACTCTTTCGATTTAGCAGAAGGAATACTGCAAGCCAATCAATCCCCTGGAAGTCCCCAGGATTTAACAATGAATAATTTTCTTCCTAAGTAGGTGGTTTTCAATAGCAGGAATAAATTCAGAAAACACTGGGAGAATCCTGCTTGACCCTCTTCTGCACTTCTACATGACACATCACAATGGCACTGTGGTTCCCGGACAGGCACAGCAGTCTCTCAAACTAGTGAGGTCAGGGTACAGGAGCACTACCCATACTTTTGTGAGCCCCAAAGCAAGCTACTGAATCTTCCTGAGCTCAAGTCACTTAACCTTATGAACCTTAGTTCCTCATCTGTAACAGAGAGATAATAATTTCAACCTTATAAGGGTTTTCTTGAGGATTAGATCAAATCGGGCACATCAATACTCAGCACAACACCAAGCACCTAGAAAGCATTCAAATTATAGCTAATAATTTTTGTGGGCCTTGTTATTATCTCCACTATTATTATATGCTCCAGGACTGAATTCAGCAAACATTTACTGAGCTCCTCTTTGTGTGAAGCTGCACTATGTAACAGATAAATTTGACTTGGCTTCATTCTCAAGACGTTTATACATGGCTACAGGATAGGTTTATTTATATAAACAATATAAAAAAGGTTTATGTCTTTAAATGTTCAACAGTTGTCTCCTACTACTAGCACGTTGTAGTGCTGTACCTTTGCCACATCAACTCTGTGGGACTTCTAGGAGGTATTTCACAAAGCAGAATGTCTCTTTTGAAAAACTGAACTTGAGATCTTTGTAAGTTGCTGATTAATGCTCTCTCTCCTAGTTTCAGCATTACAAAAGAGGTTTTAATTCTAACACTTAAGAATCAGATGTTAAAATGAAATCACTACCAGGGATTTAGCTCAGTGGTTCCACTGCCTGCCTCACAAGCACAAGGTCCCCAGTTCAAACCCTGGTACCCCCCCCAAAAAAATGCAACCACTGTTTTGTCACAAATGTCCTGATTGATATAAACTAGGTGTATATGAAAATACTGTAACTACCTCTGAATCAGTTTTATTCATCTTAGACTGAGTTCTTCAATGAATCTGATTCTTTTAAAAGACTCATTCCCTAGTTTCGAATGACTTAGCTCCAGTAGTTTTTTTTTTTTTTTTTTTTTTTTTTTTTT